AAGATCCTGTTCACTGTGAGATTTTAGGAGATTTTAAGCCAGATTTACAAAGAAGCCTATACAAAATAAAGAAATTTTACCATGAAAACCCAACTGTCCTTATTGAGAAACCATTTGTCATTTTTTAGCATATTTTGCAATTTAAATTCCTATCGGAGCAGATATCAAAGCTTCTTCTATTATCGAGATCACTTATCGGATTATCGTATAGGTCGATTATGCATGCCCGAAGCAGAGCCGCATTGAGTAACCAATCGATCGGAAAGGTTAAAATTACTAGCATTGAATTTAGAAAAAGAAAAGAAAATATAATAATTCAACAGGCCTTAAGTGAAAGCTTTATTAGAAAGCTCCACGCCCAAGCTCTTTAAAGCTTCAAGTGTGCATCGGCTACGGCAAACTATTTGCAAATATGTTTAGCTTGCCATCGATTGCATTTGCCATTTTCACAGTTTCCCATGTAAATTTGTGAAAAAAAAAAAAATAGGCGAGAAGAAGAAGCAGCAGCAGCAGCAGCAGCAGAGGAGGTGAGCTAAAAAACTGGCAACGCATGCGAAAACACTTTTGTCAACTGGCAAAAAAGGAAAAAAAAAAAAAACGAAGCGATGGCGACAAACAGCAAACAAACTTTTACCTCCCAACTCGTTGGCTGCAATGGCAAAAATAACAGCAGCAGCAACAACAACAAATGCAAAAAGTTCATTTACGTAAATGCGAATTCGGCAAGCGCTTCGCTATTGTGAGAAATTAATCAGCAAATGGATTTTCAATTTTCCCATTAACACTCGGCAACCAGAGCTGCCCCGAGCTGTGGCATCTTCAACTTTGACGCCCCATAGTGCAAGCAGCGTATGCTTTTACACTGTCCGCCCCTCACTTTGTTTCAAAACACATATATTCGTAAAAAAACAGAGAGAAAAACTGACGTCAGAAGCATATGTAATCAGAGTTTCTGTCGGGCTTAGGAAATTGCTTGCATAGAGCCAAATGACAGGCAGCAAATCTTCTTGTCGCACAGCCGAATAAATATAATTAAGTAATACCATTTTGAGGGAGAGAGAGGGGGAAGAAGAAGAAGAAGCGAGAGGAGTCGTGCGCGAGTGTGTATGTGTGTGTGTGTATGTGTGTGCCTTGCGCCATTCCCAAAATCAGGAAACAGGTTGCAGCAGTTGCAGCCGCATCAGCCACTCCATCGCTCGCCATCTCCAGCTCTAACTCGATGTCAGCTACGGCTTCTGGCTACTGGGTTTTGGGTATGGGTCAAAGTGTTTGCTAGTTGTGCACACACACACACATACACACAGTCACCTGGCCGTAAGGTGTTTGGCTTGGGCTTAGCTTTTTCTTTTGCTGCTGAGTGTTGTTTAGCTATTATGCAACCGCACGCGGATCATGGGCTGCAGGCGCCTTGCAACAAATGTTGCATCATCCAACTCAACGCTCACTGCAACTACAGAATAGTCAAGGTTTCGTTGACACACCGAAAATGCCTTATCATTAATCTAAAACATATACCTAAGCTATGATCGTTAACAGTCCAAAGAAAAGAAACAGGAAAGAAATGTGAACTATGACAAGCGGAAGATTTTATACCCTAGTCAATGGCAGAGAGATTGTAAGTTTAAATATCATTAAGAAACTCTTTTTTTTTTTCATATACAAACTTATTTTCCAGCAACTCATTTCAGATATGAATAATATAACAGTACAGCTAAATTGGATAGTTTCCTAATTTGTATAGTATTTATATATAACTTTGAAGATTCACAAAATATATTATAATTAATATTGAATTAACCTATAAAGAAGAAGCTTAAAGTATGTATAACGAAATATTTCAGCAATCAAAATTCTTCTATGGTTTATACCTATACTCTTACTTACTCAAAACATCTCGGCTCGGCGTTTGGCTACTACAATCCAAAAATCTACTAGCAACAGCTCTAGAACAAGGAAAAGACTCGGACGACATAACCCTCTAGCCTGACTGAATCAAGTCTTCATTTAAAATCTATCAGCTACCACCGGAATCTTGATCTCTGATGCCTTTAACTATTTATTCATCTAAAAAACAATTGTATATATTTTATATATTAACTTATTCTCTGCTTTACACTTTACGTGTTATATTCCCTATGCCCGATGTACAGGGTATATAAATATCTAAGCATAATCAATATGCATTATAAGAGCTGTGATTGATTATCGATATATACATACATATGTAAATCTCCGACTCTATGATCATTTGACAGCATTAGTTGGACTTAAATGATGATGAGCTACAGAGACACAAAGCTAAAAATAACCAAAAAGCTTGAGTCACACTTGAAGCACAATTAAACAAACAAGAAGAATTTGTCAGAGGGAAGTGAGAGGGAGCGAGAGAGAGAGAGATGGAAGAAAATGAGAGGGAGACAGACGTACAGAAAGAAAACGTGCTATAGAGAGAGGAAATGAAGCATAAGACAGAGAGAGAAAAAAAGATAGATATACAAAAATAGACGAATACTGAAAACGTCAGTAAGGGAGAGAGAGGAAGCGCGAGAAGAAAAAGAGAGAAAAAAGAGAAAGAAGAAAAGACAAAAAAAAAGAGAGAAAAGCGAGAGAGTAAAAAAAAATACAGAGAAAGAGAAAAAGAGAGAGTCAAAAAAGATCAGAAATACATTGAGAGACATATAGAAAGGGGAGAAACAGGGAATGAGACAGATATAGAGAGAACGTGAAACAGAGAGAGAGAGAGAGAAAAGACATTGAAAAATAGAGAAAAGAGATAGAGTGAAGAAAATACGGAGAAAGAGAAAACGAAAGATTCAAAAAAGATTAGAAAGACATTGAGAGACAAATAGAATGGGGAGAAACAGAGAATGAGACAGGTATAAAAAGAACGTGAAATAGAGAGAGAGAGAAAGGGAGAAGAAAAAGGCATGAAGGAAAGATAATGCGTGGGATGGAAAAATAGAGAGAAAAATCAGAGGAAGATTGAAAAAGAAATAGAGATAGATAAAAATAAATAAAAAATATGAGACAAAGTATGAGAAATAGAGAGAGAGAGAGAGAGAGAGAGCGAAAAATCAGCGAAAGACGAAGAAAGAATTTCAATTAAAAATCGCTGATGACTCAAAAATTGTATTGGGATCAATGACAACAATTAGGAACATTGATAAGAAATTGTTAAGTATCACATCAGTTGTTGGGCCCAATTTATGAATCGCTTATAGCCGAGTTATGATAAGGGATAAGCGATAACGATTTACGGCTATATCAATTGTGAATTCCGCTGACATTCTCACGTGAACACTTTAGCCTTGGCCCAAAGCAAAACCCAGCCGTCCATAGACGGAGTTTTTATCAGTCCTCAACTGTTGTAATTGAGTTGTTTGTTGCAAAGCGGGATGCTTCTAATTGCATTAGACGTGCCCCGCGAACGACAAAGGATTGCTGAAGGTCAGCACTCAATGGGCTTTTAATTGAGTCAAATGGGTAATTTAATTGCGCCAAAGGATGCCCGGACGATAACAATCAGAGGGCCGACAGCGTGTGGGCGTCGGCCGGACGGCAAACAGCGTAAAGATGCAGAGACTCCGGCACTCCCTCGGTCGCTCGCTCCATCGCTCGTACACACGCACGCAGGCACGCACGCATATTTTGGGCCTAAACGACGACTAGGCGAGCTAATCTTTATGACTATCGCGACACTTTATGGGGCGACGATAACGAAAACGACAGCTGGACACTGCGGCGTATGAGCAATGCGACAGACAATGACGACGTCACGTAGCTGAAGCATATGTCAGATGTCATCGCTGATAGCGCGTCGCCGTCCCACATCCGTGATATATGCGTTAGCCGATCTGCTGCGACAGCTCCGGCAACTGGGTCGCTCACTCGCTCACCTTCTTCTTACTCTTCGTGCTTGCCTTTCTGTCTGCCTACTAAATACATACAAATATCGTGTGAGATATGCACACCTGTGGAATGAAATGATACGTGGACTTTGCGTAACGTTTTTGCCAAGGAAATCACGATATTGTCGGAAGTCACGTTAAGCTGAGCCAGGTGAGCAGCTTGAGTTGAGCTACAAATTGGCCGCATGCTATTCTTGGTTGAAATTAACCGGCCTTGCTCGGCACTCCACATTGCTAGAGCGATTCAGATACATAGCTATGTGAGTCAGGCTGTTTATCGCGATGTTCCGAAGAGTTCTTTCTGCTCTATCTTCAGACTTCACACTTAGTTTATAGCCATTGTAATATACGATATATGTACCTCTATAATGATCCCTAATTTGATAATAATGCTGCTAAAAACGAGCTCTACGAGCCAGCCGAAGTAATCGTCTACAGTGGCAGATGATTGCACAAGATATTGTAAAGATAAGCTATATAGTATATATGCTTATCTGAGGAACGGCTATAGCTACTAATGTAACTGTTGTTAATGGGGCTTTAAAACTTCTTTATTTTTAGCATAGATTATGTCTGATCTATGTCAGAAAGAGAGAGAGAGAGACCCACCATATCATCCGGCCTGGATGTCATCACTAATAATATCTCTGCTGGACTAAAGGAGCACAAGTCTTGGTTTACATGTTTTCAACTAATGACGGGCAGGACTAACTGGACTCAGCTCGCTATTCTGATCAAGAACATAAATGCTTTATGGGGTCTGCCACGCTTCCTGCTACCATTATACCATGCATTCTTATATTCCATAAATTACAAAGGCTAACTCGAATATCTGAAGCCATGCCCACATCCTTTCATCTCATTCCATCATCCTAATAATCCCCTTAATCCACATCTGGTTATTCACTTCCCCACTTTTATAATATGTTCTATATTTTCTTACGTAATCTGTTAACAAGTCGTTAAATAGTCTGTTAGGTCAAAAATTTGAATTGATTTCTAACACTACCCACTTGGGATCATGTGGTCTAACTAATGACTTAGTCAGCTCTGTTTTTTCTGTCACGTTCTGTGACGCTTTGCTTTTGCAAGTTTTTCACGTGTTAAAATCAATTGACAAGCATCCGGAAAAATTTCAACGTCGAGTTTGTAATTTATTTATTTTTTTTTTTTAATTCTCAATATGCCACCGAAGAAGCATAAGGAGAATTGCAAAAAAAAGCTCAATGTCCGCAGTGCTGCAGTTATTAAAATGGGGAGGAAATGTAAGCATAGATGCAAGCAATGTCAAGCAAGGATCAGGCGGAGGATGTTGAGGGCCCAGCGGAAAAATGCTACCAATTCAGAGGTTAATCTAGTGCCGGCTAACGGGTCTAACGAACAGTAAGCTTTTAGCCAACAAAATTAAGCATATATCAAATGAATTCAATTTGATTCTTCCAATGCATTAATGCACACACATAAATACATATATTTCAATAGACAAGCCACTCAGTTGGCAAGCTCCGAACAAGGCCATACCGAGCCGAATGCCGAACAGCAATACTCTATTTTTGACGTCAATGACGAAAGCACGCTCCCGGATTATGTGGAATGGCTAACCGATCCGAACTATAGATCGATCACGCCCATACCGAATGATATAGTAGAATTTATGTCCTCAGAAGACAGTGACTCCAATGATTCGGAGAGCACTCTGCAGACATAAGCGCAGCTTGTAATCTCATAAAACGGTAACTAGACATTTCATTCATTGTTTCTATATCTCATAATTCATCCAATCACTTATCTTAAAGTTTGCGCTTTCTATAAACAAAAACGAAAAAAAAAAAAAAAAAAAAAAAAAAAAAAATACAGTCTGGCAATTGGAGCATAACCTATTAATTATATCTGAGCATCTCATAGACTTCAGTGGCGTGTCAGGACTGATAACTGGATTATAACAACATGAGCTACGAACTAGTCCACATTCCTTAAGCTACTCCGAGTTCAAGAGGTGCTTTAACATCAAACTGTATATTTATCCAGCCAGACTATTTCTAAATAAAAGACTCAGCGAATCCAAATGTTGGAGCATACATACATACATATACCTATTCATTTAACACACCTTTAGATATCTAGGGTATCTCAGCAGTCTGCCTGTTAAGTATTTAGCCGCATTCACTTTTCTTTTTTTCGCGCTTTTCTTTCTATAAACTTTCCCATAGAGAACTGAGTCGCCTGGCTCCGGTTTCGCTCGCTTCGCGGATGCTGGCGAAAATTTCGACTTTGCTTTTTCGCAGGCTCTGGAAACTTTTGTCAGCGGGTTGACGACTTTTTGACATTTGTCGCCGTTGGAGTTATGAAGGAAGCGACAGCCGAGAAACATCCTCATTTTCAACATCATAAACGTCGCCTTATTAAAAGTGCAAAAACTTTTATATTCCTGCAGATTGTTGTTGCTGCTGGCACGGCGTATGCGTGTGCAAGTGGGCGTGTTCGTGGACGTGGACGGGGGCGTTGCTGGTGTCTGGGCGGCGCATTGCAATGCAAAAGTTGGGCGCTAAACTAACCAAGAAATTATTATCAGTGTACGCATAATTCATTAAAACGTGCAACTTTTTTGGGCTGTGCGTGTGGGGGGGGCGCCAGGCGGAGAGGGGTGGCCCGCCCACCCATGGTTGGAGCTATGTAGGCGTGGCAGCTTTTGGCTGCCTGCTGCTTACGCTGATGACAGCGACGGCAACATGCGCTGATGATGATAATGTCAAAGTGCACTTTGTTATTATATCAGAAGACGCGCACACACACACACATGCTCACGCACACACACACATGCACACATGAGCCGGCAGCGGAAGGAAGAAACTAAATAACTTTGTTAAAAGTGCGCTCTGTTTATGCACGATTCTCTCCATCACACTTCTACTTATTTTAGCGCTCTCTCTCTCTCTCTCTCTCTCTCTCTATCGCGCTTTCTCTCATTCACACTGTGCATGTGTGTGTGTGTGTGTCACTTGCGGTGCAATACAATGAAGTTATCGTCCAAGTTTTAAGCGTGAACTTTTTGCTATGCCAGCAGCTACGCCTCCACTTCAGTCTCCATACACCCCCACCCCCTTTCCGGCTCCCTCCTGCTTGCTCTCAAGCAACCGCAGCCATTGCATTGAAAATTGGCCGCCTTCCTTTTAGCGGAAACCCAGGACCCCCATTTGCCGCCAGCCGCCCCATCATAATTCGCTATTAGAAGTCACTTAAAAACTTTTCCAAGTTTTCCATGCAGCTGCCAACATCGTTGTCAGACCGCCTACTGGCAGCGACGCCTCTACCGCACCGCACCGCATCGCCCACAGCCCAAGCAGCTAGCACCTATCCATGCACTCGGCAGACAGACGCACATATCGAGCCAGCAGACCGAGAAACTTTTAGCTTCGCTTTCGTAGCTCGAAAATTATATTAATTGCGCGGCATGCACTTTTTAATTGAATGATTGTGGGCATTATGGGGGGCGTGGCCGAGCAAGTTGCGAGCCACGGCGATGGGTCGCCAGACGGTAGAACACAGAATTCCTATGTTCTGCAGTCAAACGGAATAGTCCAACAGAAAGTATGTCTTATTGTCATTTATCGATATCGATTGGCAACTATCGATAGTTACGGACTACTCAAGTGGTTTTATTTTGAGAATTACCGATATTCCTTATGCTGCCAGCTGTCGACTATCGAAGATTTGTATTTTCTTATGAATGCGTCTCAAAATAACTGTTGTAAACTATCGATTGTTATTGCTTAACGACCATTTAACGCTCGCTTGGATTCTATTATGCAAATGTATTGGTGTTATATTTTATAAATATGACTATCGAACGTAATCAATATTGTATTTCCCTCTGGCTGCATAACGTAAAAACTGTTATCGACGTTAAATTACGTTAAATTAATTTAATTATATATATGTATATATATTCAATACTTTGTCCGCTACTATGCATATGCCGATATATGTATGTAGCTATCGGTAAGAGGCGCTTTTCGAATAATATTATTATCTTCGATATATATAATTATATATATAATTGAATGCTATCGATATTCTTCAGTAAATTAACAAGAAACAAGATATTGTATATGTATATGTATTGGCTGGGATATTCGTGAGCACTGAAATCTGCCAGATGTGTGAGATATGTGGCCTCACATGTTCCCTTATTGAAAAGCAAAGAAGAAGGGCAACAACTGCACACAATTCAGTGATTTTAATCGGCACAGATAATCGAAATATGCACATTTCCTTAAGACCACAGATCGTTATATTTTTTTTTAAATACCTGGGACTATCGATAAATTTCTATACTGGTTTATCGTAGAGTCATTAACATATAACACTTATATAATTGCTTGATCATTTTAGTTTATAACAGTTTATAGGCATTTATTTTTCGTATTTCCATAAATTAAATTTTGCCTCAAGAACTATCGATAGTCCCCAGTTGCCCGCACTTAACGCCAACAATCAACCACATTTTGAATAAGTTAACCGAATAAGTAAACCAGATTGTATTTAATGGCCAATACACGTTAAACGTTAATAGATAGCCGTTAAGCTCTCGGGGGCGTTCTCATCTATGGCCCAAGCAACTGAATCAGATATTTGTATGTATGTATGTGCATAACTGTGATTGAATTGACATAGCATTGAATTGGTATTCAATTGGGCTACAATATTACCTCGTTTATGCATGTGCATGGCTAAAGATGAGTATGTATGAGTCTTAATGCAATGCTACGCATACGCCGCGTGTGCCGTTTAAATTCGATTTGCCAGCATTTCAATTTAATTAATCTGCAGCTAACGGCTTCTGATGTCGCCGCTGCCAACGCCGCCAACGCCGCCGTCGCTGCTGCTGATAAATGAGACTTTGGTTCTCCAAAGTATGCAATGAGTATTATTAAATGCATACATAATTGCATTTTAAACGCGCACAAACAAAAGCCAAGCTGTCAATGGCCCCCGCCTGCAACCTGGCCGGCGCATCAATTTCCAGCCCGCCCCTGAGCTGAAATCATCATTAAAGTAATTATAGCTGTCAGCGCGACAATGCATTGGGCCAGGATGCGCCATTCATCCAGGTGGGCAGTGCCAGGCGCATGCAAGACAGGTTCATAAACGTAATTTCCGAAGCCTCGCAGCCACCCGCGCTCTCTATTGCCAAAGCCAGAGCCAAAGCTATGCTCTACCTGGCCGAAAGCCAAAAGCTTTTAAGCATTTCAATATTCCAGATTGTCGCAGGATCAGCGGCATAAGTTCTATACGAATACAATAACTTCAAGTTTTTTCAAAGCGCAATTTACTAAGCTTTCTGCTTAATCATAACAATGTCAAGAGCTTTTATTTAATTTTAATGAGCTTTGTAGTAAATTGAAAGCTTTAGCTCCGAAAAGTTTTATTGTATATAACCCCTTCAGCTTCTTTTATGTCGCATTATTAAAGAAATTTATGAGAGCTTTAACACAAATACATATTACATATGCTTTTATGAACTTTGAGAGTGTTTTTGGACTTTGCATTTTGAATTTTGAATATTGATCAATTAAATCATTCATTCAGGTTTCTTAAATATATATTTAATATATTAAAGTTGTAATACGACTGTTGAAGCTGCAATGAAATTTTAATGAGCTTTCCTCAACTTGTTGTACTTTAATTATTCAAAGTACATACATATATAAATATTATAATCGGCTGAGATTTCTTGGGTTTTAATATTACATACTTCTAGGTGAAGTTTGAGACAAGTAAGTCAACACCTAATATTAATTGTAATGAACTTTAGAAAGATTTTCACGTTTTTAGAGTATATTAAATTTTATAGATTTATTAGTTCCTCTTTTATTTATTTATTTATTTTATTTATTTTTTAATTTTTTTTTTTTGTACTAAAAATTTTTACGCAAGGCTTACAATATTCTTGTATAAGTTTTTATTAACTTTCGAATTGCAGCAATGTAGTGCACATTTTTGAATAAATTCATATATACAGATTTCTTGTATTTTAATAAAAATATTTAAGCGAGCTTTAATACAAATAAACATAATATAACATAATAATACATAAATCCATAAGGTTTCATCCACTTGAATACAAATATACACATCCATAGGCTTTCATGCACTTTAATACAAATGTAGAAATCTATAAGCTTTCTTGAACCTTTAATGAGCATTGCAGAGATATGAAAGTCTTTTTTTTTTCTTAAGTATTTAAATCAGTTAATTATAAAATCAGTTGGTGTTTACAGTTTTGTTAATAAACACATTCAGGCGAGCTTTTAAAAAAATTCTATTATCGTAACATTTTAGTTACTCTCATAGTCTTACGCATTTAGTATGCAACCATATTATTCCATCTTCTGTCGTAAAGCTCTTTATCTAATCAAAAACTTTTGAATGCGATATTATGATTAAGTTCTAGCATCTCGTTAAGTGTTTGGCTGTGCTGTTCGCATGAGTCAGGAGCTCTGTTTACAGTTTATCTAACGCAAATTTGTTTAGTTTCCACTTTGGCGATAATATCTCAGTTTTCTACAGCAATTAAAGAGTCAACCACGCTTTGGTAGGCAGCCAGCCGAACGGGGCTATTCGCATGCCGAGCATCGTGTTCAGCTGCTCCTTCCGCGCCATCTCCCCGTCCCTGCCCGCCCTCTTTCCACTCTTCCATCGGCTCTTTTGCCGCTCTCTTTCATTTGCATCGCCGCGGCGGCTGGCAACGAAAGCAAAAGCCTCAAATCAAAGTCCAAGTCCAAAGTCAAAGTCAAACCACTTTTGGCACTTTGCTCGCTCTTTCCTGCTGTCTTAGGCCTGGCTTATGCAGATCGTTGCGTTTCTCTCTCTCTCTTTCGCTCGCTCGCTCGCTCGCTCTTCCTTTGACTGTGGCTTGGCCAGAAACTCAATGCTTTGCTCGTTGGCGCTGCCTCGCCTGGCTGCACTTCATTACCGCTGCAGCCAACAGAGACTTTGGCCCCAAAAGCTTTAACTATAACCTACCTTACACGCCTCTCTCACTTGCTCTCTCTGCCTCTCCCTCACTCCCTCACTCCGTC